ACATTTTTAATGTTCTCACCACAAAACATAGTTAATGAGTGGATGGAAATGCTAATTAAACTGACTGAATCTTTCTACCATGTATCACAGATCAAACCATCACACTGTACTCTACAAATATACATAATTAGCATCGAACATTTAAAACAGCTATATCAATCAATAAAGAAAAGGGTTCTGGCTGGCTGACCCAATGGTGACTGTCTCTGACAGGAAAGACATGAAAACAAAGAGGACTTTAGCTTGGGGATGCTGGTCAGAAGCTCTGAAATCCCACTAGGAATGTCTAGTGAAGATGTGTGGTAGGAAACAGACATCAAGTCCAGGGAGGAGGTGGAAGGTTCATGCCTTTGGGCATCACTGGCATTAATGGTAAAGCTGTGGGTAGATCTGATCACTAAAAGAAACTGTGCCAGGGTGATGAGGAAACAAAAACCACACGTTCAGAGTATACAAGTGCTGTAGAGATAGTGAAAGATAGGTGCTTTCACCTGCTCAGATGAGAGGTTTCCAACTTGAGACCCTCCCATTCTACCCCGTGAGAAGTGGTCATTGCACTCACTTGTTCCTATCCCTTCACAGCTTTGTAAAGATTCAGAAGGCAACCCAGTCTCTCTTACCTCTGAAACCATGTCCTGAGCCTGACCCTTTCATCTCCTTTTCTGAAAGCTTTTCTAAAGTCTGCATTGGAGACTACGCTGTCAATGATAGGTTCTTGACTTGACTAATGTATATTTCTCTTTTTTCCTCTCCCTTCACCCTCACTCCTTCCTCATTTCCTACACTTTTTCATTTTTTTCCTTGTGGTACTGTGGATGGAACCATGAGGCAAGCAAAGCTACTCTACTGCCGAGCTACATCCTCAGCCCCCACTGTGTGTTTATCCATGTATGTATCTTTTTGCCTTCCCATATGTAGAAGGAGTGAATGTGAGGCAGCTAAATAGTCAAAAATTTTAGTTCAGTATTTGCTACGAGGGAACACATTTGCTCAACTTACTTGTCTAGAGAACCTTAAACTCTAAGATGAATTAATTTACAAGTAATTTATTGTACAAAAATAGCTTCTTAGCAAAACTTAATTAATGTACTCTGATGGAGAAATGGGGAAGCTAAAACAAGCATAGACACAGATAACACAGCAGGAAAGAAACAAAGCTGCATCCATGCCCATCAATACATTCAAAGGGCCACAAATTTAAAATATCAAATAAGTATACTCAGTTAAGCTAAAAATAATGAACTATGTTACATCTAGTACATAAGGATCAAGCAATAGAAAATACTTTAAATTGGTGGCTGGATATAAAGGATCTTCTCTGGATTTGTGACAAAAAGAAACTGTCTCCTTCACCCTCCTGAGTGGAGTTTCTGAAGTTAGAAGCATTTAATACCAGACTTGATCAATGTCTGCATTCTCAAGTCAGGAAGAATCTACAATTATACAAATCCTAAATCAGATGTTTGTTTTCTTAAGACTGATTCAGGTTAATTAGCATCTAACAGATGCAAAAAATGGCTTCTAGAATTACATCATTATAGCAGCCACAATAAAACAACATGCTAAGGTTTATCAACCCTACAGCTCTGATGGTCTCGCCCAATGCTCCTGAGGAATTTGATCTGTATCATATTTGGTCTCTATCCCCAGAACAAAGCTGTGTCTCCCTTGGTCTCTAAATGCTCCCCAGCTATCTCTTCTACAGTAGAGTCAATAGAAATGGAAAAGGCATGCAAATTAAGACACATAAATGGACATTTTTATAAACGGAAAAAAAAACTATGCTGGGAAATGATGGTTAAAAACATAACCTATCTTCCCCAAAGCAAACTGGCTATTTATTACCAGGAGTCTGCAAATCTTGGGGTCTCATGTGAAGCCAGTGAGGGGAGTTGATCAGGTGCAGGGTAGTGATATGATACGGATCAGGTGTGGGGAGCTGAGTAGGAACCGGTTAGGGGGATGAATGAACAAGATGGAAGTAATCTGTCTTATTAACAACAATAAACACTTTGTCTAGTATATTAAAGATGATTTTTATTTTTATTTCTCCTTTTCAAAAATATAGTTAGGTCTTTCACAAACCGAAAAGAAGATGGGTAAGTAGGTGGGACTTTCTAGGCACACAGCACTTGCTGTCTGTGATCAGAAGGTACAGAGGCCTGTGGAGTCCTCAAGGGGCCGGCTGTAAGGTAGAACCTTACAGGGTAAGAGGGCTTATATATTCTTATCTAATGAATCACCACTCAGTGTCGCTCAAGGTCAAAATGTCACACAGTAATCAATCACCTTCATGTCCTATTTTCATTTCTTTGGGGTATATCATCATGAGACCTGTTCCATTCTTGGCCTTAGGATATAATATGAGGCTGGAAGCACTCAGGACTTGGAATCAAAAGAGTTATTTTCAAGTCCCTGATACTTTCAAGTGAAGTCCACACACACACTCTCTGCACCTCTGCCCCTATGAAAATCACAGAACTAAAATATCATCCTCATTTACTTCTCAGAGATTCTACATTAAATAAGATCATACGAGGGGCTGGGGAGATGGCTAGCTGGGTCAGTGCTCCATACACAAGCATAAGGACCTAAGCTTGAATCCCAGCTACAGTGGTGAGGACCTATGACCCAGGACTTGATGGCCAAGCAGCCTTGCCAAATTGGTGAGGTCTAGGTTCAATGAGAGAATCTGCCTCAAAAAATAAGGGAGAAAAGAGAGGCAGACCCCTGACATGTTGGCCTGTGACCTACACAGACACGCCCCCCATATGAACACATACATATGAATAACAATACACATGGAAAATACCATAAAAGTAAATACAATTATATCTGTGAAATCATTCTACCTTTCAATGTCACTGATCATTACATTTTAATAAAGTCCCAATAAGCATGATTATGTATATACTATTTCTATATTAAATCAACTCTACTTTGAAGATAAAGACAAAATGAAGGCGCCAGAGAGATGACAGGGCTGGTAAAGGTGCTGGCTACCAAGCCCAATGACCCGAGTTCAAGCCCCGGGACCCACATGGTGGAAGGAGGGAAAGAGCTCTACGAGCTGACCTCTGACCTCCACCGGAAGGTCATGGCATGCACACCATAATAAATGTACAAAAGAAACAAGACAATTAAACAATTAATTAAGAAACAAGATGAAAGGAATTTTAGAAACGGTTGTTTTCAGGCTTCTACTGGCAGAGCACCAATAAGAAACTGGGACGGGAAAAGGACAGGCAGCAGGAAAGGAGGAAGAGAGAGGAGGAGGAACAATCGTGGAAAAGCCTCTTCTCCTGCCCCACCGGGCAGCACATCCCACAGTAGGAACTGAGAGAAGGAAGGCCTGGCATCCAGTGACAATGGGAGAGAGACCCTCTAAGAGAGCATGACCCACCATACAGAAACAGGAGAGACGGCTGTCCACAGTGACCTCCCCATGATTTTCTTGGCAGGCATCTAGAGTTATTGTCACTGGAAAGGGAACTGTGAAAAATAAGGGCTGTGAGTGACCCTTTCTCTTCAGAGCAGCAAGTGGGTTTTACCTGCTTGACACCATGGAAATAAGAGCTTCGGCCCACAGTAGAGTGAGCAGGTGTGCTGTGGTCCAAACCACGTTACTCTGTTCATTTCAGACACAACTGAATAATTTCAAGACATTCAAGAAGTAATTTTTAAAAACAATGCTGAGTGGGCAAAAACCCTATTGCTTCTTCTGAGCTGTCCCTGGGTCCTCATAGTACCTTTCTCTGTGATTTAGACAAAGATAGGAAAAGATATCAGAAACCTTCCTTTGCGCCAGCTTCGTTCTGCTTAACAGTATAAACGAAGGCAACATAATTTCTGCTTATTCCTTCACAAAAACTGAGAGAAAAATCACAGTGCTTCTAACCTATGCAAGTCTTCATCACTTCACATATTTTAATAACATTCTTTATATAGACACATTAGCATGACTGAATAAAAACAAAGTACCCATTTTCCACAGATCTTGTAATTATGAACATGAAAATTTTCTGGAAATAAAGTAGACATTTGGCCTCAAAGCCTTAAGTCACAGCATTTATCAGCAGGGTGATTAATCTTTACGAAAAGGCAGGAAAACAAGACAGAGCCACCCACTCTGACATTTTCATTCTAAAAAAAAAAAAAAAACCCAAGCTAGTTTATGAACTGGAAGCATCATTTATAAAAAGTAGATCGTCCACTGAGAGTAAACTGATTACATGATTAACAAGATGCTTATCTTGCTTGTTTTCTTCGCTGAGAAAAGTGCACTGGCATTAGACAGTTGGCTCAGTTTTACCTAGAAATCTGATAAACTTTGCTCAGGAACTAGCAACCTTTACAACAAGGTACTTCATTTTTTCCTCTGCTGCTTATGTGAAAAATTATAAACAAGAGAGTGAACATTCTCAAACATGACAGCAGCCCACCGATCTGCACATACACTTTTGCCTACATCCAGCAGGCGGAGCGCAAAGCACACACAAGTTCTGGTTAAGCCAGGAAGGAAGGGGCCAGAGGCTAGAGAGCAGGATGTGCGCATGCCCGGGCTTAAACAGTCAGGCAGGGCTTCAATGACAGGGAGAGGAAGAGGGGAGGAACAGGCTGGATTAACAGGAAGAGGTCTCCCTGCAGTCAGGACCAGGGGTGCTGTCAGTAGTGCCTAAAGGTTTAACCCCAACAGGAGCCATATGGCAAGATTCTTAAAGATTTAGTTTTGATGTTTTCTCTCCTAATTGTCTTGCCTGACTTTTGAACAGCTCTGACAGGGTTAAGCAAATCACTTCAACCAGGAGAAAGCTTTGCTCCAGAAAAAAGCAGTGCTACATTAACAGTTCCAGGCAAGGAAGGAAATCATTCCCTGATAGGTCAGGTGAGGGTAATGGGTGTGGACGGCTGAGGAATTGGAGCGTAGGGGAGCCAAAGAGGCGCTGAGAAAACTGTGTGGCAAAGCACTGGACTTGTCTACTGAATACCAAAGTACTCACCTGTGTTATTTTTTCTATTCCTTGGAAGTTGTGCTTTTCAAAATGTTCTGCTATGTTTAGGAAGGTGTGACGTTCTAAATAGCAGCAATTGCTCAGGACTATCAAAAGCCGCTGCTCCTAAAAGTCAAACAGGCCATTAGAAGTTTACATTGACAGTACTGGTGAATGCAAAAGGTAACCCTGATCCCTGATCACACAGTAAGTGTAATGACAGGCGTCTGCCCTTTAACATCAGTTAAACCCAATGCCCTGATTTTCTTGCTGTTTATTTCTTAAAATTGACACACAGAAAAACATAATACAATTCCACCAATTGTTGATTATTACATTTACACTGAAGAGTTAAACAGAGACTTGGGGTACAGCTCAGCAATGAGTTGTTCTCTAGAATGCTCAAGGCTCTGAGTTCTACGTCCAATATGCCCCGAAGAAAAAAGTCAAATGTTTCCTTGAATATTTTATGTAGACCAAAGACCACACAAATTGATAGTATGAATAAGTACATAAATGTAGGAACTATCAGAAAGTGGTTTATGAATCTTTCACAACTTGAGAACATTTCAATGTCCTATTATCCATATGCAGGCAGGGCTCCTTGTTTCCTCAAGGAGTTTCTGCCTGTGAGGGCCTGTGGGAATGTTTCCTATATTCAGGAAAAGCCTCCTTCGAATGGGGAATAAGTGTTTCTGAGCACCTCCCCGCCCCCACCCCAGGAAGACAAGGAACAGGGAAGAGAGCCTCTTGCTGTTACATCTTCAAGGCTTTACCCACCTAAATAATTTCCTACAAAGTTACTAGACTGCAATAGCAATGCTATGAATACAACAGGCTTTCTACAGTTCAGAAGAACTATATCTGTACATAAGATTCTAGGAATGGCCCTGCTGCTGCTGTGGTTCACTGTAGGGCAGCCCAGGTCTGTGTTCCTGCAGGTGGGAGGCATTCTCTGGAATGGTGACTCATCCAGGCTTTCAGTCAAGACCCTTGACTAAAACTAAGGCAAAGCCACTTTCCAGGAACAGCTCTCACCCACAGCTGGTTACTCTTTCTGTGCAGAATCAGAGTAACTTATAGTTAAGTACTCCAGGGGGAAAAATGCAGAAAAACACAGGATCGTGTTCTTTGAAGCATGTGGACTATGGCATGAACTGAAGTCAATAAAGGCTCTAAAGTCAATAGTCAAGCAAACCTTCTAGTAATTGTACTGAGCTCAGCCAAATGCCCAACATCATCTCACTTCTTTATTACAATTTCCTATCTTTATTTCCGGCACAATGCTGCCTACTTACCACCAGTTTTGGTCATCAACAGACATAAATACAAGATTGGAGAACTATTACAGTAACCCAGACAACAAAATGCTGCAGGTGGCCCTGAATTGACTTTTAGATGGGAAATGGAATATGAAAAAGGCCAGAGGAGGTCATACTCTATATGACATTATTTTTCCATAGTGAATACATGGCAGAAACAATACTGGAAAGTAAGCAACTTGGGCATGGTGAAGCCATATTCCCTCTTGTCACATCAAGACACATTCCTTCTATAGGGCATGAAGTAAATGACTTTCCAGCAGCCGCTCCCAACATGCTGAAGCCCACAAATGTGTCAACTGGCTGGAACCCATCCGTTACCACTCTTTCATGTAGACTTGAACTTCCATTCCAGCTGACTGAGCCTACAGGTCTTTCCTGCCCTGGTCCTTAGCTGTCCTGACTTGCTTTTCCCCACTACAGCATGTATGAAACCTCTTTAGAGTGAGAAGAACGACTTCAGTGATCTGAAGACTAACTCTTAGCAAGTATAATTTGTTCATCATATACATCAGATGAAACACTGTATGAAATGAAAGTGGGAAGAACAGAAGAAAGGCACAGTCTAGTTCTTAGCTCGGATGTTAATCTGAAGCTTGTCGGCACCTGGTGGAGAGACATGCATTTGACCGTACCAGTTCAGCTGCCCTGCAGTCCCTGCATATGCAGGAATGGGCCTTACACATTACTTCTCTGTACTCCCAGACAGCACCAGAAATGAACACTCTTGCCCTTTGAGGGTTGACTGAGTAAGGAGACTCTTCTGATTCTCAATCTAGATCTTTCTTACCAAACCAGTTTTTATTCTGGGTAGCACAGCCCTGAGAGGATCTCGATCCTCTGAGAAGAGGAATTAGATCTGATGAGACCCCCTCCATTGGGGAGAACACTGGAACAAATTTTGGAAACCAATGGGTATCTTAGGAAGTGAGTGGACAGGTAAAGAGGCTGTGAGGAGCAAAAGTAAGTGCAAAACCCTGGGAGATTGCTGAGAGCCTCCTGGGAGGAGGATCCATGGAGCCACCTTCTCTCCTCTCTACCCCTAAAAAGGGATGGGAGGCTCAGAGCAGCACTCCCTATCAGGGCTGCCCACACACCAGCTGAGAAATGAATGATGGGTGCCACGGTGTGTGCTGGGAGGTAGGAAGGGAACAAAGGTCATCACTGAGTATCAGTTCGGCTGCTTCTAAAAGACCAAGGAAACAAAAGCATAGTTGGCCCTGATGGCTGCTGGGGTCTTAGTTTCAAAGGCTTTTCCCCCAGCCCCTCCCCTACTTCCCCACTTCCTTCCTAGATTCACAAGGGAAGCCTGGTTCCAATCCACTTTATGGCTTCCTTAAGCTCTTGCCACTTGTCCTAGCTGATTTTTTTCTTAGCACAAGCTAGAGTTATCTGAGAAGAAGAACCCCAACTCAGAATTGAGTAAATGCCTCTACTAGATTGCCTGTAGGAATCTGGTTTTGTAACCTACATTCAAATAAAACAGGAGGCTTGCAGAAATAAGGCAGAGAAAAGCGGAGTTCATCAGGCTCAAGAGGCAAATGACACAAAGGAAATGCCTTGTCCTCTGCCTCCTCCCAGGCCATGCAGGCAATTCTGCAGCACCAATGAACAACCAGGCGCTTTTAACACTCAAGACGCAGTGGATGTGTTGGGTCTTATGTTTAACTCCAGTTAAAGATTTTTTTCAGTGTGAAATACACACAAATCTTTATACAACATAATGTAGTCCTAGAGTGTCCCTCAGTGTTCAAAGAGTCCATCTCACATGCGATGATGCTTTCTGTTCAAATGACAGGCTGACTGCCATAGCCATTCCTTCTAACATGACATACTTTACTTTCTGTGTTTGGAACTTTACTTACTGAAGTCAAACTGAAGTCTTCATGGATGCTTCCAAACAAATCAGGAGAAGAAACATCAACAGAAAGACTAAATGCAGAAGAGACAAGAGAATAGTCACAATTAAAACTGACTTAAAACTGCAATGACTTCAAATGTTTTGAGAAAAATAGCTGTGCAACTTTCTGTACATTTTCTTTGTATTTCACTATTAACATCACAAGGAAGCACTAAGGACAACCTCTTATCCTGGGCCATATAAAAATTATGAAGTATTCCCAATACTCAATTGACTGTATTAAATTAAAAAACAAATTATCAATGGGAAAATGACAAATAATATTCATATAATTAAAATGTTTTTGACTATCAGAATTTCCAGGGGAAGGTTTGAAGCTCATTTTCACAGTGACCTACTTACAGGTGAGCTAAGAAATTGGTTGATAACTCAAAAGCAATCAAAAACATAAAAAGGTGAAAGGCAAGAGCAGGGTAAGTAACCCACTAATTGATTTATTGATTTAACAGAATCAGAAGAGACATCTTAGCAGAATTTTTTTTTAAACTTGACTGACTTGAATTCATATGGACATCTAACATGATGAATATCAAATAATACTTCAAAATAGATAATAAAAAGATACCAACCACAGCAGGGAGGTGGTGGCACATGCCTTTGATCCCAGCACTCGGGAGGCAGAGGCAGGAGGATCTCTGGGAGTTCAAGGCCAGTCTGGTCTACAGAACGAGTTCCAGGACAGCCAGGGCTACAGAGAGAAACCCTGTCTCAAAAAACCAAAACCAAACCAAACTAAACAAACAAAACAACAACAAAAAAAGATACCAATCTGAAGAGTTGAGATATAAACAAATGGTAATTAAAACAGCATTAATTGATATATTTGAATGATTAGAAGATAAAGTTCAGAACTGTTGCACTACCCATTAGAATCCAGCAATGTAGGAAACAGAAATTTTAAAGTAATAAGAAAAGACTGATTTAACTAGATCACAGATCTGGCTGTAAATAGTAACACAATGTTCTAGTGAGATAATGAACCAAATACATGCAATCAAGTCAAAGATGACCTACAAGCATTAAAAATGTGGGATTGGGGAGATGACCATGGGTACAGTGCTTGCCCCTCAATGCGAGGAGCAGAATTCAGATCTCTAGAATCCATGTAAATACCAGGTGGATATGATAGCTCACCTGTATTCTCAGGATTTGTGAGGTGGAAATGGACCAGCTAGACAAGCTGAGTCAGTGAGCTCTGGGTCCAAATGAATGACCCAGCCTATATGTATGGCAGAGACATATTTGAGACAATCAATCATCATCTACTTCTGGCCACCAGTCCCCCCCCCCCCACACACACAAACATGCATACACTTGCAGGTAAAAACACTGGGTATGTGCACATACACACAAATTTTAAAAAAAGTATTTGGTCACTGGAGATGATAGCTATATATACTGAAAAGCAAAAGTTAATGCTAGGTACAGTGGTTTGAAAAGGAATGGCCACCATAGACTCACTCATGTGTTTAAATGCCCATAGGGAGTGACACTATTAGGAGATGTAGCTCTGTTGGAATAAGTGTGGCCTTGTTGGAGGAAGTGTGCCACTGTAGGGGCAGGCTTTGAGGTCTCATATATACTCAAGCTACACCCAGTACACAGTCTCTCCTTCTGCTGCCTTTGGAGCAGTTGTAGAACGCTCAGCTCCTTCTCCAGCACCATGTCTGCCTGCACACCACCATTTTATATCATGATGATAATAGACTGAATCTCTGAAACCGTAAGCTACCTCAATTAAATGCTTTCCTTGATAAGTGTTGCCATGGTCATGGTGTCTTTTCACAGCAATAAAAACCCTAACTAAAACACAAGTAAACGGAAAAATTCTCAAATTGCAAATTAGATTCAAACACTTATTTTGATACTATCTGTATTAAACAGGAACCTTAGGTGCATAGGAGTTTCACATGCCAAGTGTCATCCAGAAAGACTGCCACATACTAAGTGTCAGCTGGAAAACTGCATGTTAGAAACTAAGGACAACAGCACTATGTGCTGCTCCATGTGACAGCGTTAGGAGAGAACTACTTGTGTCCGTCAAGAGTCAGGGCTGGGCCTGGTCTCAGAAGGCTTAAGACTGCAGAGAGTAAGGGCAGCCCAAGCATATAATCAGTTCACGCCAACCTAGATTACATGTGAGACCCCACCTCAGTATGGAATTTACGTCTTACATTATATTACTTTTAAATGCATCAGTGAGATTAACTACATTTTTACTTACTGAGTAGTATCTATGTCTGCATCAGGCTTGGTGCTCAGTTGTTCCAGACAGTATATAAAAACCTGGATTAAAAATAGCAAGTTTCAGTGATAAGAGTTTTCAGGTATCAATCTATTGGAATAATAAAACAATTTTATATAAATTAAAGCTGAACTGTCTGGCCCATAAAAAATGAGGTGGGGAGAGAGGTGTCTAATAATGTAGGTGCGTAGGTGTGTGTGTGTGTGTGTGTGTGTGTGTGTGTGTGTGTGTGTGTGTGTGTGTGTGTGTGTGTGTGTGTGTATGTATGTGTGTCTGTGTGTGTACATGTGAACTAAGAAGTAGAAATATACACACCCCATCAATGTCTCCATAAGTGACAGAATATTAAAAGCACCTTGTCTAAGTCAATTGTTATGTTCTTGAATACACTTGAGGAGAAAGACTCTTTTTCTTTTCCTTATTTACTCACAAACATGCTCAACTTCATTTATGTACCTATGAAGCATTGGACCCAAAAGTTTTTAAACAACCTTACAACTCTAGATGAATTATAAGCAACCAATTTTTATTTAATTCACTCTGCTATCTAAAGGAAATGAATACAAAGTACCATGAAAATAGACAGAACACAATATAAATGAAATACACAGGTATTGCTAAAACAAGCAAGAACTAATCCTACATTAAGCTTCATCTGTATAGCCGACTTACTCTAAATGCTTATGTACACAGATGAGATTTTAAAAGAACCCTTATTTAAAAGTGATATGAACATTATCAACGGTGAATGACAAATCAGTTCATGGCTTCAGAGTCTATACCACTGCTTTTAGTTACCTGCATGATATTGATGCTTAGTTGGCAAACCTCCTCCTGCGTTTTAGGCTGTTGAAATACCTATGAGAAAGAATTTAGGTAAAAAAGTTCTAAATTTGCTAAGAAAACAAAACATTTTGCTTGAAAAACTAGATATGAAAGCGAAACCACAGAAAGCCCGCTCCCCCCCCCCCCCCCCGGGTGTCATCAACCTTACTTCGAGGGCTAGCCTTAGGTGGCTTCCTACTATGGTAGTTCTGATCCCAACTGGCTGACATACCCAAGTCAGTCATTCCTCAGTCCACAAGAACCCTGCTCTGCTCAAAGCTGGCAGACTCACTTTTAACTGCTCAGCCCACCCTGGAACCAGAACTCAACACATTTATGTAGGTAACTAAATGAGTGCATCTGGGAAGACAAAACAGCTCTTGGACATCAATGACTGTTTACTCTGATTCTCAGGCAGGAAATTCCTTTTCTTTTCTTTTTACTTTTCTTTTCTTTTCCTTTCTTTTTGTTTTTACATCCCAACCACAGTTTCCCCTCCATCCTCGCCTCCCAGTCCCTTCCTACCAGGCACGGATTTCCTCAGACCAGCTAAAGCATGTAGAACAGAACAGAAACTCACGCTGGCTTCTCCAGGCTTACATTCAACAACGCCCTTCAGTGACTGTAGGGAGTGCACGATGCTCTGTTCAAACTGACATGGCTGAAAGAAAGAAAACCTCCTTAAAAACAGATGCTGCACCAGCTATGAAGATGTATTTATGGAGCTGAATACAGCTGAAAGCTCAAGTCCCCAGAGTTACAGAAAAGAACAAAGACGCGATTTGACCAGAGTCTCCACTCACTGAGGCTGAGATTGGCATGTTTTAAAAGGGATACATATTCAGACTAAGGCTTTTCTAATTCATCTAGAACTGAGTAAATATTTTCATCAAAATTCTCTTTTCATGGGAAACTGACAAGGAGCAAATGCAAGGCATTCATATTTGAGGACTATATTGCATGGATATTATGTATGAGCTCAATTTTCTAGGTGGGCCATCTCTTATATTGTTCAATCAAACCTAGTGTTATTAAACCAGATAACAACTATCTGGAGGGGTACTAGATCCTTGAAGTCAAATATGTCATTGCACTCATTTTCTACATAGATTAGGTCAAAAACTGAAACTTGGAGCCCACCTTTCATCCCAGCACTAAGGAGGCAGAGGCAGGCAGGTCTCTGAGTTCAAGGCCAGACTGGTCTACAAAGTAAGTTCTAAGACAGCCAGGGCAACACAGAGAAACCCTGTCTCAAAAAAACAAAAAAACACAAAACAAAACAAACCAACCAACCAACCAACCAAAAAAAACAGAGAAAAAAGAAAAGACAAAAAACTTGCACATATGTTTAAGCAAAGGGACTCTAAGAAAAGTGGGAACAGATCTCAATATCCTAGTGCCTGTGTTCTGTGTTCACTTGAAGTTCACATGAGTGGATCTGATAGACAGAATTCCCATTACATGATTTTCCAAGTTGAGAGACACCAACATGACAGTCACAGGGTTTGTTTTGATAGACTGCAAGTTAAACAATAAGAAGCATCATGGAGAAAACACTAGTGCTCACAGAAGAATGATGCCGGAGGGGCTTCTCTCTAGACATGGTGGCCAAAGTCCTGAGAACAGGGAAAGAGAGGTATGAAAACATCACGGCACAGAAGGGGACAGCAAACCACAAGGACTGAGGGCCACAGGAAGGACAGTGGATTGCCAGCACTGAACACCAGTGCAGAGGTGGGCTTAGGACCTAAGATTTGCACAGGCTCTGAGCAAGGCCAAGATAGACTAACATTGAATGACCCACTCTGGACAGGACATCTGCAGTAAGAATCAGAGCCACCAGGTTTTAGAAGAAGTTTGGGAAAAAGCAGAAGAAAAATCCATATATATCAAAACCCAAACAAAAACAGTTTACTTTACTAAAATAGGGCCTTGGTATTAGTGTCACTACATATTGATGCACTTTGAAACCTCTGGGGGCACCATGAAGAGTGAGTTAAAGTCGAAGTGGGAAAGGGAGACTAGGCTGAACCACAGATGCACAAAAAGCATCAGGCGTCACATTGTTCATTACTGCCCAGCATGTGGGAAGCCTGGGGTTTGATCCCAAAGATTATAAAACAAAGAAAGAACAGTCAGATGAAGACCTGCTTAGTTAACCTACATTCCACAGTAGGCACAGCAATCTATGATATTAAAACAAAAATAGCAAGCACAATACTGAGAAAAAAACTGAATGTCACCTGTGGGCAGTGAGATGCTGGTGCTTATCCGTGCTCACTTAGACATCCTGTATTAGGATTTGAACTAGCTTTTCTAAATCTTTACACCCATATTAATACCATGAATGGGCAGGAAATACTAGACAGTTTAGAGAGCAGCTTCAGTCAAGGCAGAAGTAAACAGTAGTCTAAATAACTGCTCTTCCTAGTCTAGAAACTCCTCTCTCTTTGTTGTCAGTGAGTCACCCACCTATAAGAAGTCATCAAAACCGCTCTAGTTCTAAAATAATTCTCCAAGTTAGAAAGAAAGGAAGGGAAGGAGGGACGGAGGGAAGGGAGGGAAGAGAGGGAAGGGAGGGAAGGGAGGGAAGGGAGGGAA